GAGATAGCAGCTCAAAAGAAGAGAAATGGCAATAAGATAAAAAAAACTACATGAAAAAATATTAACTGCTTCTAACTGAATATACAACAGATTATGCAATACAGGGAAGTTATTATTAGTATTAAGATTCTGAAATCTTTACCAAGCCAAATCTTTACCTATAAAAATTATTTTTGCAAAGTTAGCACATGACTGTGGGAAAAAAAGAGATAATTTCATATGGAATCAGGCAAAAATGTGGCAACTTATCAATCTCCTAAAGCTGAAATATTACAGACTGTGAAAGATGCAAAAAAACCTTAAGTGCTTGCATATCAAACAGAAACTAATGGTAGCCTACACATCAATACTGATGATAAAGTCCTCTCACTGTTTACAAACACACCTCTTCTCATCCCTGTGCTGACTTCAAGTTGCTTGTATTTAACAGAAGAAACACCAAATTAACATTTCCAAAAGGATTTTCAGAGCAACGAAATCATAGAATCATGGGCTGGTTTGGGTTACAAAAAACCCTTAAAAACTATCTAGTTCCAACCCCCCTGCCTCAGGCAAGAGCAGCTTCCACTAGACCAGGTTGCTCAGGGCCCCATCCAAACTGGCCCTGAACACTTCCAGGGTGGAGCATCCACATTTTTTGGGCAAACTCTTCATGGGCACAGCAGCTGTGAACCTGAACACAGACATCCCCGAAGGCTGTGACAAGAGGAAAAACATGAAATGCAAAAGTAGACACTTTAAATTAAGTGTTAGGAAATGAAAGGAGACAAATTGTGAGCAGATGGAGTGATTTAAAAGCACTGAGCCATTCCCTTTCTATATTGTCCATTTTCTGACTGAGTTTTCTATTTAATGGATGGTTTCAGGTTTTGCTCTCTGGCTTCCAGACAGTAATTCATCTCACCTCAGAATTTCTACTAACGGCAGACTCAGCATTTGGCAGCCAAAAAGAGTCTAAAGCATTGCCAGGACAGAGGCTCCTTTTGCAAAACTTCAATCATTTACCTCTGAGGTGGTCTTCTCAGACCTTCCTCAATGTCAATAAAGAAAAATAAGCAGTTTTAGAGAATGATGCATCTAGCATATTTCAAAAATGTACTCTGTGCCGAAATTAATTCCTTTCCAAAAGTGTCTTTTTCTCTTTGCTGACCATTGAAGCAGCTTAGAATGACTAGCTCAAATACCCATGTCTAGACTGTATCCCACGCCTGCATTCCTTTGACAAATCCCACCCAAGATGTCAAAAAGTAAGAGGGAAAATATCAAATTGTCTGGTTATATGAGAAGAAACAAGGAAAAAAAATTTCTGGGCCCTTTAATGAGCTATATGAACATTTGTAGAAAGTAACTCAATATCAAATAACATACATACCTTTGGGATGCAAACCCCCCCTTTATTTGTGGGCTATTAAAGAACCAAGAGCAATTCCAGATTGCCTGAAAAAAAATATTAATTCTCAATTAGATATGTGGCTTCATATGTGGCTATGATAAAAGCAAGAAAAAACAGAAAAAAAAGAAAAAGAACAAAAGTGCAAACACACTATCCCTGCTGTGATTGTTCTCAATTTTATTAAATATTGAATGCAACCTGCATTCAATAGATCATAAGATTACTAGGAAAATTCTAAATTTTCAACATATGACAATCTGCTTTATATTTGCATATTTATAATGATTCCTTGAAGTTTTTAATTGATTATTTTTTTCCCAATGAATCTCTTGGCAATATTGAGCCTCTGTTTTGTTTTGTGGTTTCATTTGTTTGGTTGCTTTTTGAAAGCTTCTTGACTTCTTGGCTGGATTAAGTGTCACCAGTCTCACTCCAAAACCATCTTTTTTTTTTTTTTTTTTTAATCTGGGAGCACATATTTTCCTTTGAACTGAATTTTTGGGGGTAAAATTCCCACAAATGCTTTAACTGTCAACTTTGGTGTCCTGTAATCATGTCTCTTTGTCTTCCTGTTTGGACACCTTAGTCAAGCACAAAGTGATTCTGTGAGCAGGACATAGAAGTTTAAAAATTATTTATTGGTTATCACATTCAAATGATCACTACTAGCTTATGCATGAATGTGCTCACCAACTTTTACAAGACACAAGCAGAGTCTCTGCTAGCCAGGCAGGCAAAAGTCAGAAAGGTGAAAGGGCAGCTCCTACAGTCACGCCTCCCTCCGACACTCTGTATTTTCCTGATGATTTTATACTTGCCCATGTCAGTGCTTTCCCTTGTCTTACCTTGTCTGAAATTTCAGCTTTCTCATCTCACATGAATCTCCTCTTCAGACCTTCTGACAGCTATTTATTTTCTCCTGCAACTTAGCATTTTCCTCAGAATTCTGAGCCGTGGTTGCACACCTTCAGCAATTGGACCTGGTATCCTCAGGCACAGGCACTTGCATGGACTTCTAGACCATTTTGGCACTGAGATGAAGGTGACAAGGGTGATCAGGAAAGGAATTACTTTCCAGTGGTTACCAGTCAAAACCATAGCTTTGAGTATCAGTTGCTCAGCGCTATTCTTATGTTTATCCTATAAAAAATCTCATCTTTTCTTTGTGATGCACCACTATACATTTCTGTCATAAATCTTAATGTAATGCCATAAATCATCATATTTCCTCAAACATTTCAATCCCTCAATCAGCATTTGGATAAAGGCCAATTTGAATTAATGTTGTAAAAAACTGCATTAAATCCCTTAATGAAACCTATCCATAACTAGAATCTTGCATCCTCTCCATTAAAAATTATTCTGCAGATCTTATTGAAGAGATATATTTTTACATGTCTACTTCTCAATTATACACGCAATATCTTTGCCACTAATAAAAAAAACCTTTAAGTTAAGTTTGATTCTCAATAATTTTATTTATATGTCTCCTCATTTTCCATGTGGGCCTCAAATTTCTGAAGTAAGAATTCAGTCTTACTGGCAGAGACACAGTACAGTAGTCACAGCACTAACCAGCTTAATTGTGCTGACCAAATATATAACTAAGTTAAAGTGCTGTTACTGAAAGCTCCTTTTGCTCCTATAGCTGAATCTGTTTCCGGAAATTATTTTACACACACTTTTAAATGCCTTGTTCCTTAAATGTATGGGTGCTCCAAAATACCTGTTCTGACAAACACCATGTTGTAAAGCCATTTAAACATTTATATAGCTCACCTAAGACTTCTTTGTTGCACTTTATTCTTAAGAAAATGTCAGAGAATTCCAAAGAACAGCTATGAAAGGAGCAAAGAATGAAAGATGCATGTCATGCTATAAAAAGGTTGAATATGGAAAAATACCTAAATGCAGCAGATGAAATAAGCTTTGACATTTGAAGGAAGGATAAGGGTCTGATCATGTCTAGCTATGGGAAACAGAATGGACTGAGTTTGAATTAGGGAGCCAAAGAATCACAGAATAAATGAGGCTGGAAAAGACCTCTGAGTCCAACTTCTGACCGAACACCAGAGTGTGATAACCAGACCATGGCACTGAGTGCCACACCCAGAATTTTCTTAAACATCCTCAGGAACACTGACTCCACACTTCCTTGGGCCACCTATTCCAATGCTTAACAACCCCTTCCATGAAGAAATTCTTCCTGATGTCCAACCTGAATCTTCCCTGGCACAGCTTAAGGCCATTTCCTCTCATCCTGTCACTGGTTGTCAGGGGGAAGAGGCCGACTCCCAGCTGGCTACAGCCTCCTTGCAGGCAGTTGTGGAGAGTGATGAGGTCTCCCCTGAGCCTCCTCTTTTCCAGGCTAACCAACTCAGAAAGCTTCATCCACAGCACACATTTTCCAATTCATGAATAGACCAGACACAGCACAGAAGGAACAAGAGGCTAACTAATGTACTTCTCCACATCTAATACTAGTCTGCATCTAAAAAAATATGAAGGGTCCTCCTGACGTGTTTGTGACTTGCCACAGCTGTCAACCAAGTATTAATTTAGATGCAAATGTGGCCTTAATCACAGTACTGAACACTAAAAATTAGAACTCCAGCTATAATTAAGGCAAGTGGGTGTTTTGACCTCTAGGTCTCATCTGGCATTCTCATCTAAAATCGCATCCTGTAAACATAGGGAAAGAGTGCAGGATGATGAAATCAGCAGGCAGTAACTCCACAAGAGGGTGTCTTTGCTGTAAGACAGTCTGAGGGCTCTGTTTTGTAACTATTGCCCTTTAGCAGTTGAAAGGCTGGCTAAACTCTGAAGAGACCCTGTAGAAGGTGCCAAGGTTCCACCAACACAGCTGCACCTCCTTCTATCCCAAATCCATCCCAGCATCTCCCAGATACTAGAAAAAGCACAGATAATGGATGGATGCCACAGGTGAAGGAGACAAATCTGTGTGAAATCTAACATAGTGTTTATTCACAAGTTTAGTTTGAACCCCAGTCAGCCAGACTCCAGGGACAGTTCACATATCCACACTTCTGTTCCAGGCGTCTTTGACCTCCCTCAGCATGTTTTCTTCCTCCACTGCTGGCTGCAGAATCCACCTGAATCTTCAATCTGGGTGCCTGCTTGCTCTGGCTCAGGCCTGACAGAAGGGTGAGTGCACTCACCTTCGTAAAACGAAAACGTTGACCCGAAAAAAAAACAAAAAAAAAAAAAAAAAAAGGGAGAAAGCTAAAAAAAAATAAACAAACAGGGAGAAAAAAAAAAAAGTAATCTTTATAATCTTTATTACCCTGAGGCCACCTTGTCAGCTAAAGGAGGTTGTTACCCGGCGCGCCGCTCGGCACAAGGGCGGTGCTGAGGCTGCGGATACCGCCCACACTACAGCAGCAACAACGCCCGTAGGGGCCGGGCCCGCCCGCACACCCAGCGCCGCCGGCCGGGTGCCGAAGGCGGGGCGATGCCGCCTCACGGGCCGCGGGTCCCGGCCCCGCCGCTCCTCCCAGCGCTGCCGGGCCCGCGCTGCGCAGGCGCGCTCGGGGTCGGGGCTGGGCAGGGCCCGCCGTGACCTCCCGGTGCCGGGATCCGGCGCTGCCGCGGGGGCCGCTGCCGGGGAGGTGGGGCCGAGGCGGGCGCAGTGCCGCCGGGCAGTGCCGCCGCTGCCTCGCGGAGGCCGCGTTAGCCCTGGGGCAGGCCTACGGAGAGGCAGCGGGCGATCGGGACGGGGTTGAGGTGCCTGGCCTCTGGAGGGCCGTGTCCCGCCTAGGAAATGCCCGCTTGCTGTAAGTGTCCAAGGTTAGAAGGCGCAGTGGCTGCACTTTGGCGTTGCGCGCCCCGCGGTTGTCACTTCACATTCTGTGTTTGCTAGCTTTAAAAAAAACTTGTCTCGCTGTTTCGGCTGTTTCGCTAGTTTGTTTTGGTTGTTTGCGGAGCAAAAGGGGAGGTAAGAAAAATCCAGACACACCACAGGCTTGATCTCATGGCGCACGAGCTGAAACAGAGCACTTCTAAGTCACTTCCCTGTTTGGGGTTAAGTTGGAATTTGGCAGTGTTCCGCCGAGAGCTCGCCGGCACGGGGTCACATTAGGGTTGTTTGCAGTGGTGGTCGGGCAGGAACTTGCTTTTCATCTGAACGAGCACAATTCCATACATTTTTCTTTATGGTCCAGGCTTGCACTGGATGTGTGAGTAAGCCCTGTGCTATCTTAGTAACAGAGAAGATGACGAAGCTCGCCTTGTACCAGCCAGCATGCTGGAGCGTCTCTTACTGGGATCTTGACAGCGGCACTTTGCTTTAGTGAACAAGTTGAAGTTGCTGGATCACTGCATCCACAGTTTTCAGCTGAGGTAGATGGAGCAGTGTATTCACGTTGTTAATCTTAAGGGAGTGTTTGTTCGTTTGGGGTTCTCTGTTATTAACAATTTTAGTTCTTCATGTCTGTGAAATGAACAATTGACTTTATAGTCGGTGGTGAACAACACGGTACCAGATGGGGGCTGGTGAGAGTGAGAGAGGAGCTACTGAGTAAAACTCTTCCACTGTCAAGTGAATCAGCGTTGATGCCTCTGTGTCTTCGGGTTGGTGGGTGTGAGAAGGGCCTTGTTACAATATCAGGACCTTGATGAGAGCCTTTCAGCTACTTATTCTTTTTTTTTTTCTTTTCATACTGTCTTTTAAACAGGTTATGCTTAAAAGAAAGTTTCTGCTGAGTGCTTTTATGGCTTCGTTGGTAACTTCATAGTAAAACAGCTGTAAAACTGCAAGTATCTATTTGATTACCACATCATCTGGATCCAGAGATCACTTGTACTAAAATGTGGACTGCCAAAAAGCTTTCTAGTGCTCAAATACTGTTGCTCCAGATGAAAGAAGGCCACCTTTGTAGTTGCATGTTTCCCAAAACATGGCAGTTCTGGATTGGAATTCCAAGCATTTATTGCACTTTAAGAGTGCCACATAACAGAGTTAAATTCCAGGTAAGTATTTTTGTGATTCTCTAAAGATATAACTGGTGTGCATAAATACAGGGATAAAATAATTTAGTTGAGACTCTGCAGAGCTAAGATTTTGCAGCATTAATTATGAATTTAAGATGCCTTCAGTTTATCAAGGTAAAGGGGCAGGCAGCAATATGTGCTGGAGTACCAGTGTTTCAGAGTAAATTTTTGAGTCTGATAGTTCTGAGTTGGGGAGAAACATTCACTTTCTTCAAACTGTACTCTAGATAGTAGTGCAGGATAACTGACAGGCTGATTAGTTAGTGACAATCGTTAAGTGAGGAATTTTTCAGAATTCTCTGAAAAATTAGTTACAGATTCAATGTTGCACAAGAGAGGGTAGAGAGGAAATGCATTGGTAAGGCAGGATAAAAAGAAGAGTTTGATTATAAAAAAATCTGTAGATGTAAATAAAAATAGTGGTAAAGGACACAAAATAAAGCTCATTTTCAATACTGGCATATCCAATCGGCAGTATCATATTTCAATATCTATTTAAATTCATCTTTAAAATATAAATTGCTGCAGACATAAGTTGTGGAACACTGAGGTTTGAACTCATTTGTGTTGGCTAAGCAATTGCAAAATTCATCTAGATGACTTAACAGTTACTGTCAAATAATGTCAAATAGTATTACTGTCAAATAATATTACTGTTATTTTTCTTTTTAATCTTAATATGTCTGACTCTCTGATTGCAGGTTTCCAAGGTAAATGATAAACAATCCGTAGCTGATAGAAAAATGGCGACTAGTGCAGAGGAAACCAAAATAGCTATTGGAAAAAGTCCCAGTGGAGTATGTGATGGAAGACAACATTCATTACAAGGTATTGAACCTTTTGCCACCCTCTTCTGGGGAAGTCAGCCTTCCCTGCCCCTCTGTTGACATCTTAAGGGTCAAGGTCTAGAATCTTAATTTGAAAGTTTTGTATTATGTTATGTGTTTCTCTTTTTAATTTTAAGGGGATTTTATGCAAATATTATAGTTCGCAAAGACTCAGAATTTTCTTAAGGTTCTTAATGGCTGCTTAGATTATGTACTTATTAATTTTCTTAGATTATGTACTTATTATTTTTCTTCTTCAACTTCATCAAACTCTTATATTTACTGAAGGCTGTGAATTGTTGTGCTAGTGCAATTTTTTCTCATTAGAAATGGAAAAACCAAACATTTCTGTGTCAGTGGTGATTTTTGATTCAGATAAGTTAGTAGTTACCTTTATGACCTTTATTTTAGCAGTGCTGCTGAGCTAAGCAGTTTTTTCTGTGACTCTGCTTGTTTTGTCACTCTTTGCTAATAACTTATCCTCAGATGTGCTGTTATGCATCATACATTTTAGCTCCTGTGCTTCAGGGTGCTTGGTCATTTGCATTCTATGTATATTTAGATTTTGTTTGTTAAGGTGTTCATGCTCAGTTGCTTTGGGCATTTTCAGCTTTTGTTTACAAATGGGATGACATGGAGGTGGTTATGACAGGTTAAGACACTGGGATGGTACAATGTTTATATAATTACATTGCTCAGGAAACAGCCCTATGAGAAACTGTTGTGCTATTTCATGTGCATGACAATCAGGAAGACAGTAGCTGTCCTCAGAAAGCTGTGTGGTACTGTATCATAATTTTTCTGTACAGCCTTGTCTTTTTACATACATTCCCTTGAAGGTTTGCATTACAAAATGCATGCAATACTGCTGAGTAAACAGAAATGCCCCGACCCCTCAGAGATTTTAAATCACCAGTGTGTTGTTTTCTTGCAGATGTGGTAATCTTTTAAAGGGAACCCTTCAGTTTATATTTTTTCCTGAATGCTCCTGCATTATCTGCAAAATAATGAAACTGAACAGCCCCAGTGTTCTTCTTGTATATACATTTTCTTACACTTCTGTTTTTTCTCTTGAAGACAACAGAAGCATTTCTATCCCCTTGGCCAGTTGAAATCTTTATATTTTGAATTTTGCCAATCATGTAAGATCGCAACATTTTTTGAAAAGCAGTGGCAGAAGTGTTTGTTCTGTCCTATTTATGTCATACATTATGTGTACTGTCCAGCTGAAATGTTCTTGTGCATCTTCAAGGTTCATTGAAACATCTTCTTAAGACATGCCAACGTGACAACTTTGCGTTAATATCCTTAATAGGTGCTAATATCCTTAATAGTCACAATTTATGCTAAACTCTCTAAGAATATTTGTTTTGAAGTCTTGTGAAACAGGTGTTTCATACTATTTCTAAGATAGCAAGATTTCTGCTCTCTGCTGCAGCAGCTGAAGGAAGTGGTTTGTGTCCACATGTGACTATGCCCTATTTCTGTTAATCTATAAGAAATTGTCAGGGAATAATCAAAATGTGTACTTAATTAAATTTCTTTCTGCTTCCTCTTTGGAGTTTTTATAATCATACTATACTTTTTTGATCAAAAAGGCAGGGATCTATCATATCATCAAAGCAAAAGACATTTTTGAATCATGCTTTGACTGAAGTATACCATTATAACTTGCAAATCGAGTGATGCCATGACATATTTGCAATAATTCTTTTTAAAGTGTCCAGTTTCTTATTGCTTTCCTTTCTGATTTTTACAAGACATTAATCTAAAAAATGCTTTCTTACCTTTTCCTCTTATTCGGAGATTTGTTTGCAAGGTGAATCAGCATTGCTTAATTATATCTGTGGAGCAGTAGTTCCTTATGGAATCATGATTCTTATTTATCTGTTTCATCTTTGTCATCTGCATCCTTTGTAGGTTAAGTGCTTTTTTACAGATTTGTTGAAGAGGCCTCAGTTCCACCCACTTTCCTGCAGGTGGATGCAGGATTGAAGATATTGATGTTCTGTTCCTTCTCTGTAATGCTGGGTATTTGCAATACTCAACTGAGTTTAATATTCTGAACAAATGAAAGAAGACCTGACTGTTTCACCCAGCAACAGACAAATGCTAGGTATCACTTACGAGCTAAACATTGCAAGATTTTCAAGTTAACAACTGGGTAAAGCCCTGAGCAGCCAAATTTGATCTCATAGCTGACCATGTTTTAAGCATAAGAGTGTTGGGCAAGAAGTCACTTGAATGATGTAGGATTTTTTTCCTACTCATTATTTACCTAATTAAAAGGTTTAATGGATATATATGCATACCCCATTTCTCAGTCATGAAACTAGATGTAACCAGTGGATCTGTCATTTGAGCATGAATGTCACCTGCCAATTAACATTTGCAGTGAGGAATTTTAAATTTTTTTTTGTATATGACAAATACTTAATGTATACCTGGGGATTTATCCTAATTAATAGAAATGTAGTGTCTGGGTAACACAGCTATGCTATTGCTACTCTTAATTTGAGGTTCTCTTGGGGAATCTGTAAAACAATGTATTGTATGCCATCCAGATCCAGTGCGTCAAGTACTTCACTAAAAGTAAAAAAGTTACCTTATTTTTACGTTATATTAATATTAAGTCTTTTTGGACTTGAAATTAATCTCCTCTTCACAGAGTGTGAGACAAGCAGCATTCTTGAACTGTATTCCTTGACTTGAAATCTTAGCACTGTTTTTTCCTCTTGTGTGTTCTTCTCTCACTGAATCCTTATGTCAGTCAAGTAACTGATGTGAGTACTCATTCAATAATCTCTCTTGTTGTCTCTTGGGGAAGAATCAGAAAAGTGTGGGATCTAAGTGGTAGGAAATTAACTTGCATGAAAGAGTGAATGCCATGTATCCAGACACTGAAAAGAGAATAGTGGTTACTCCCAGTAGCTGATAATTAGGTAGGACTGGAGCTTGTCTAAGGGACTACAATTTCTTCATCAAGGTGTCTAAGAGGAGATATGGATATCTGACTTTAATCAGATATGTTCTGTAGTTTTTGATCTGAGATTTAAATAGATTCCTCAGTTCACATAACCTCCTTTTGTGTTCTTGCTTTAGAGAAAATGTACCAGGCCCTTCTTTACACAATGAAGTATGATTTTTCTTCCACATTTGTAGGGAATTTTTCTTTTTAAAAAAGGCTTTTAATCTAAAGTTTTTTTACTGTAACCACGCTTTAGATACTCTTTGTCGTTCTCTTTTTTTCTTTTTATTTGTGAATATTTAATTATTGTCCAGCAGAGAGAGATACTTTTTTGCAGTATTAGCCTAGTAAAAGGTTTAAATCTGTGTATACATGTACATAAGCATCCATATACTTATTTTGATTTACATAACCTTATTATCTTACACTTGCATTTCTTAGTTGCATTTCATGGTTCCTTTAGATGTAATTCTTTGTATTTGTGAACTTGTACTTTGCATACTTTTTGATGAATCTGCTATGTAAACATAATCTTTATTTCATATAGTGCTTCATATTAGAAGTGTCTTGATCTTGAGATCTGTTTTGCATATAAATGGGAGTTGATTGTTCAATTCCTATGTAAGAATTCAATTGCTTTAACCAGCTTCACCTTTTTGTCAGAGTGGCCTGTGGTGCAAATGCATCTTTGCTCCTAATTTGTAGAAGGTTTGGAGTCAGCTGCAGCAGCTGGTTTAACTCCCAAGAGTTTAACTATCCTGAAAGGAAGCATATTGTGGTATCATACTTCAAAGACTGTTTTAGTTTTCTTCCACTCTATTAAAAAAAAACAACAAAGTAGAGTTGTGTTTTTTATTTTCCTGTAGCATCTTGAGGAAAGTTTTTTACCTTCTATTCAGTACACGGACTTTTCTTTAGATTAAAAGATCCTTTTTTGCAAAAATAGTAAATCAGTTTATCACTTTCTTCATTCTAAATGTTTCTCCTATTGTCACAGCAAGAGCCAACATCTAGTACTTTCTATGAGTAAAAATGTGTTAGGTTTGTTACAGGTGTTCCTTCTTACAAGTGGGTCTGGAAGTGTTTCCATCACAGTTGATAAACTGTGTGTTTTAGCAGACTGACTGGTGCACCAAATATTCCCTGGCACTATGAGATGCTGTCTCAGTAAAATAGCAAACCTGGTCACATCATAAGGTCTGATTTTAATTCTCTGTAGGTAAAGCAGTTGAGTTTAGCATGTCTTCTTATCTAATGGTTCTGAAAACTGTTTCTTCTCCTCGTCTTTTCTGGCCTTCCCATTTCAGAGATGAAGAGCTATCTTGAACAAAAATGTGGTGCTGTGTATGTTTGCGTGTCTTCATCAGGACTGATATAACAGTTTCTGTCTTTTATTACCATTCATATTGAGATAAACCCAAGTACAGTAGGGTGTTATTTTTAATTCAGTACTAAGATAATGTGTACAATATCTCTTACATCTGTAAAATACAATCTGTGGAATATCTTCCTTTCATTTGTAGTTATTTGCAGAAACAGAAGAGCTAATAAATTGCACAGCATTTTGTTTGTTTATTTAATTAACTATCCCTAATAATCTGAACTTATGCTTCCTATTTGTAGGGTTTTTTTGTTAAATTTAAATTTCTATCCTAGAAGAAAGGAGTGTGTGTGTGTTTTCCTACATTTAGTGCTTTGCATTTTGCTTTGTGTTTTTTTTATTCCTTCTTATTTTAATAGTAGCAAAAATATGCTTTTTGTTTTTTCTTTTTTAAACTAGTAATTAGTTTAAAAATTTGTCTATTAATAATTCTAGTAAGCAGATGAGTTTCAAAGATGACAGGAAAAAAATCCTCTCTTAGAGAGTTATAATGGATTCAAGGTTCTGCTTGTGTAAGGGGGAGTATGATTATAGAATCATAGAATGCCCTGGGCTGTGAGGCACCTTAGAGATCATCTCATTCCAACTCCTGTGCCATGGGCAGGGACACCTCCCACTAGGCCAGGTTGCTCAGAGCTCCATCCAGCCTGGCCCTGACCAGTGCCAGAAATGGGGTATCCACAGCATCTCTGGGCAACCTGTTCCAGTGCCTCACTGCCCTCACAGTAAAGAATTCCTTCCTAATATCCAGTCTTAGCTTTCTCTCAGTTTGAATCTGTTTTCCCAGTCCTGTCACTACATAATGAGACAGTAACCAGCAGTTTCATAATTAATTTGATTTTTTGATCAAGGTGGCTAACAATGTTTGTTCTTTCAAGATATTTTTAATAACTTTTGTGTAGCTACTCTTTGACAAATCAGATGAAAGTATGTATTTATGTTATATATAAAGTATATATTTTTGATTTATTTAAAAAGGGACTTGTACTAGGGATTATTTTAGAGTTGTTTTCAGTCTTGAAGATACTAAACTAACTGCTGATTGTTTGATGTATTTAGTAATTAAAAGCTTTTACTGTTCTCAAATAACTTGTGGGTTTTTATATAATTAAAGTATTTTATGCAAAAAAATTAAATGTATATTGCAAGAGAAATTGCAAAAGACTGACTGTGTGGCACACTATTTCCACAGCCCAAATGAGACACATCAACCTGTCCTTTGCAGCTTGTGGCTTTCTGGGCATTTACCACTTGGGGGCAGCAGCTGCTTTCCACAGGCATGGTAAGAAGTTACTGAGAGATGTGAAAGCTTTTGCGGGAGCTTCTGCGGGATCTCTGGCTGCCGCTGTCTTGTTAGCAGTGCCAGAAAATATAGAGGTAAATTAACAAACTCGTAGGTATAGGCCATGATAATTTTCAAAGGACATTTTTGTATATAATCATCTTCCATTAAGTTTATTAAAATGTTTTGTGTCTTGCTTTTTTTTTGTCTTGTTACTTGCTAGGAACAGGACTCTTGTATCATGTTTTCATTAACCATATGTCTGACTCATGAGCAAAAATGTTAATGATAAAAATATTTCATATGAACCTTATATTTTAAGCTGTGTAAATATAAATCTCATGTGTGTGAATCTTAATTTGTAAGCAACAGATATACTTTAATATACTAAAATGTATACTTAATGATGGTGCATTACAAAGTGAGTCATTGTTCTGTTAGTTACAGATAGGCTTTGCTAAGCAAGTGCATAGCACCACCCTTCTAACCTTTTCTGAAAGGAGGTGAAAATGGTAGATGGAGTGTGTCTTCATGAACAGCTCCTACCTGCTCAGATCTTTTTCTTGGTGCCTGTCCTCCACTGAACAGCATTAAAGGCTTTTGCATCTCCTTTAGACTCAGTGCAGCCCATACCTTAATACTATACCAGTGCAGCCAGTAGGATTAACTCTCACAGCAATCTATTCTGACATGCATCTGGCTTGTGTCATCTCCAGAGATGCCCCTCCTTTCTCACAGTGCAGTGGTGTCATGCAGAGACACCAAGGTTCTGTTCAGTGATTACAATGTTACGGATTCCATGGAGAGCATGAGGGTTTTTTTTTTGGTGTCTGTTTGCTTGGAGAGCATTAGGGGGTTTTTTGGTGTCTGTTTGCTTGGAGAGCATTAGGGGTTTTTTGGTGTCTGTTTGCTTGGTTTTCCCCACAGGTTAAGGCTGCTTCGTCGTCCTGAACTGTCTCTAGTGACTTTGCCTTAATAAATGTAGAGGACCAGGATTGCCAAAATGTTAGTATTTCTTTACTATTGTGGTGGTTTGACAGGAAATATGTTTTCTGGGATGCTCAGGCCATGGATGCTCAGAATTTAATAAATATTGGCACCTAATGTGGCCATTGGGACATTGGATCCACCTCTGAGAGCACGGGGTTAAAGCAGGGCTCTCCCCTGGGAGGCTCTCTTGGGTTCCAGTCAGGGAAAGGTTCAGAGCTCCCCTGCCCGGCTGCAGGCTGGGTGGGGCAGGGGCAGCCATGGGGCCGGGTGAGGTAGGCCCAGGGGCAGCCATGGGGCCGGGTGAGGTAGGCCCAGGGGCAGCCATGGGGCCGGGTGAGGTAGGCCCAGGGGCAGCCATGCGGCCGGGTGAGGTAGGCCCAGGGGCAGCCATGGGGCCGGGTGAGGTAGGCCCAGGGGCAGCCATGGGGCCGGGTGAGGTAGGCCCAGGGGCAGCCATGGGGCCGGGTGAGGTAGGCCCGGGGGCAGCCATGGGGCCGGGTGAGGTAGGCCGGGCCCTGGACAGAAGGGAGGGGAAGGCCCCTGCAGGATGGGAGGGTGGAGGAGCACTGAGAGGCATCGGGCAGCCACTCCCCCAAGAGAGACAGAGAGAGAGCCTGTGCCTGTGCCTGTGCTTGTGACACCTTGAAATTTAATAGTGGCCGGCTGAGAAGGAGAAGGGGGGCGGCGAGAAGGTGCCCAGCTGGGCAGCCGTGGGAGTTCTGGACAGACAGAGCCTCAGATTTTTAACCCTTTTCTTGGATGGTGGAAACCTTACAAATGCTAATCCTCCTGGAGCTGAATGAGAAGAAAGATATAGATGAGATCAGAGGAAATGGGCCACGAGAGAAATAGAGAAGAACTCAGGTGGAAGAGATGATGGAGTAGCTTATGCTGGACTCTTTTTGTGTAGCCATGGACAGAGCCATGTTTCCTTGTGATACAGGGACTGCATTCTAGGGGAAGGCAATGCCTCAGGACCAAGAGGGTTCAGTGTGGGTACCCCTCGGCCCCAGGGGGTGAAAAATATGGGGGGGGCAGATGTCCCAAAGTTGAGACTGTGCCTTTTTGGAGTGGGAGGAAGCATCCTTAAAAGTCGACCCTAGAAGCAGCTCTGGTCCGTGTTCAGTGGTGAGAGTGCTGGACATGAAAGGAAGAGGTCACCACTGGCACAAGAAGGACTCCTTCTCCTCTTGATGAACTGAGGATTGAGTATTCTGAAGGGTGGTGCCGGACCGAGAGTCGATGGTTTGGGGGATGTATTGTATTGGGAGTTTGGTGGGGAGGAGGAGGAGATGTATCTGTGAAGTTTTCATTTTCTTTGTATGTTTCTTTTTTTTTCCCTTTCCCTTGTAGTTTAGTTAATTTATTTTTTTTTCCTAAGTGGGAGCCTGCTTTGCTTATTCCTGGTCACATCTCACAGCAGAAACCAGGGAGAGAGTATTCTCATGGAGGCACTGGCATTGTGCCAGTGTCAAACCATGACAACTATTTTTAATTATTGTGGGAAAAACAGGCTGTTAGATTTTTTGTCTAAGTTACACTTTTGTTTTGTTCCAAGTGAGCATTTGATAATTCCTCTAGGCCTTGCTTATTTCATTTCATGTGATTCAAATAATAGTCCTAGCAAAACCCCACTTTGCCACTGATCTTTCTGTTTGTTTGTTGGTTGTTCCTGCTGGGATATGAACTCAGCTTGCAGCATTGACTATACTTCTTTCAGCAGTTGGTTTTTCCCTGGCTTCTTTCTCCCATCCCACTCCCCTGCAAGCATTCTTTATATGACTTGATATTAGGCAAGTTCCTCTCTGTTGTGGAGAAAACCTCATTGTATTCTGTGCAGGCATTTCTCCCCTTCTGTCACCTCTGACTGGTAGTTCAGTTTCAAGTTTGCCCGGTATAATGTGTAACTCTGACTTTAATTTCCTCTGTGGTGGGCATGGCAGCCCTTTGTTAGCCCAAGGAAATTTTTCTGCTTATTGCAGACCCTGGGTATGAGCTCTTGTTCTCAGCCTGCTCCAACTTACAAAGATCTTTCTAAGTAAAAATATTAGAATAGTTTTTAGTTTTTGTTTGTGGAAGCTAAGTCTATATTACATTGAGTCTGTTATATTTTTCCTTGAAAATTTGTCATATTATTGTAAGCTAAACAAAGTTTCATGGACTTTCTAGTCCTTTCATTTTTTGTGTACTTTTTAGTTATTCTGTTACAGTGTTTAAATGGAAAATTGGGAGTTCTTTTGTCAGTGGGAATAATTCAAATTCTCATGGAATTTAAGTAAGGGCACTTTTCTGTACTGAATAGAATTAACTTTTCATATCAGGATAATTATATTATTATCTTTACTATGTTTCTAGCTTGAAATATTTTATATCCACAAATGTAGCTCCTAATCAGTTAATTATTTTTTTTCTTCCTTCCCCCCAGAGATGGCAATGTTAGGTAAGCCATAATTAGGACTTCCTGTATTTCCTAGTCTCAAAGCTGTAATGCAGCCTGTCCTTATCTTGGAGAGAATGTAACATTGAAGATTTATTGTTTTGACTGTTGCTGTTGTAAGACAGTATCCAAATGTTTTTTGTCATGTATTGGATTTTTGTCACTGTTTGTAAAGGTGTGGGACTTGAGAATACTAATTAGGCTTATTTAGTTATAGGTAAATAACTATTTATTTTAAAGTTACCTTGGTCATGTTTGATATCAAGTTTGCTTAACTCAATACAAGCAGTTGCAATTTCTAAACATGACCTCAGTCAATATTTAAAATGTAGATGTATTGTTTAAAGCTTCTAGCACTCAGATTCTAAAACAATTCATAACTGTAAGAAGTTGTCCCTTTTGAGAGCAGAAATTGAGAGTCTGGGTACAGTACATTCTTAGAACTTGTAATATGGAAAGTAGTTTTCTGTCATTTCCCTAGTTTTGTACTCTTAGCTCCCCATAACTTTATTTAAGTATCTTGGATACAGAGATAGTAGTTCTGAGGTGCTTCTGTGTATGGTTTTGTGGATTTCTTTTGCATTTATAGAGAGAAGTGTCTGAATGTGCCTTAAGTATTTTAATTGGCTTTGAGCTGGCAATGGCACGTACCTCGTGGGCTAAAGGTGCAAATCTAACCAATGTGAAGCTAAGTAGAATAAATAATTGTTTCTTTAAGAGGTATGAACCTCTTAATTAACTTTTTGATGCATTTATTCAAAGGCCCTATCAAGAAAGTGGATGCAAGAACTACATTTCTGCCTTTTGCTTAGCTGAGTGCTTTGTCATACAAGTGGTGTGAGGAAGTTTAACTCCTTCAATTAGCTGCCTCTGATCACATGTTAATCCTCACCCTACCTCCTTCCTTGTTTTTCTTTCAATGGATTCTGTATTCTCCTCCTCTATGGGATACATTCATGTCTCTCCTTTTTTTTTCCCTTTCCTTTTCTTAGTCACTCAGTCATTGATTTTGTTACTAGCAACATATTTGTTCTTTATGCACAGACCAAATAATCCAGGAAACCTAAACTGTCTTTTATTCATGTGGTTATATGGGTGAATATGGGTGAATTTATAAAGTACGAATTTCAGAAGGTTGCATAAGATTGGATTTAGTTTTTTCCAAGTCCCTAAAATCATTAGAAAAGCCCGCATGAAAGAATAAGAAAAGGATTGCAAATATTGAATAGTGAGTATTAAGCACTTAGGATCATAATTCATTGTTTCAAAATGTTATGGTTAAAAATAAATTATACCAGTTCTTATACTGTCCCTTTGGAATTCTTGTGACTCACACTTAGAGCTATTTTTTTTTTTGCAGTCATTAATGCTGGGCATTTCAGCTTTTGTAAAGGGTTCTCTGTGCAGGAATCTCTTACCTGTTTTTCTGATGTGTATTTTCTTTCTATATCACCCATCAGAGTTTTCCATTCATTAAATACTTCCATAGTATTTTATTAATTAAATATGTGTATTTGCTAGTACCCTGTTTTTTTGCTTTAGTGAGAAGAAATTGTTGTAATTTTTATTTTTCTTACTGCTTATAAGCATCTTAAGGTACTTGTGTCTAGTTTAAGTTCTGAAGCAGACCTTAAAATAAAAGGTGGCTTTAGAGTTTGAACTAAATGATTGTTCTTGTAATGGCATGATCTAGGGAACTGATTATTTAGCAGTGGTAGTATAGAGAAAAATAGCTTTTAACTTTGCTTGATTGTTGGAGTGGTATCCTCAGAGTTCTTTTTTTTTTTTCCATTAGGGATTTTTTTTCCTTACAAATTAATCCTTAGCAAAGGATCAACATTCTGTTATGCATGTCTGGTTACAAACCAAGCACACATGGGAAAATCCTTCAGTTTGATCTAATAACTCGTTTATTAAAGCTTTAGCCTCTAGTATATTTTAGGTTCTGCAGTTGAACATGCTTCCCATCACTTAAACATCCTTAATGGTTATTGCTTTTCATTTCCAGAAATGTAAGCACTTTGCCTATGGATTTGCAGAGGAAGTCAGAAGATTGAACTTTGGTGCAGTAACGCCTGGTTATGATTTTATGAAAACACTTAGGTACCTATCTTAATGCTTCTCTAAGATCATTTTTGTGTTAGAAAGCTCTCCAAATGCAAATTGAGAGGGTGCATATTTCTGCTGTGCTGTGGGGTGCTCACCCCTAATGCATTTGCAAAGCTTTTAAATAATAGTGGTGAGTAATGCTGAGCTTTTTCTTTCCTCTAGGGAGGGCATAGAGTCTATTCTTCCTTCTGATGTTCATGAGATAGCTGAGAACCGGCTCTATGTGTCAGTCACCAACTCCAAGAGTGGGGAAAATCACTTGGTTTCAAATTTTGCCTCCAGGGAGGACCTCATTAAGGTAATCATGTTGAATGTGGCAGTTGTAAGTAAAAACTCGGGGGTTTCTTCAAAGCTTGAAGAGGGTATATTATCAATTGTACAGTAAAGTCACTGGTTTATTCAGGTAACCATGTCTATTCCCAGTGGTGCTACAACCATAATATAAACAATGTTTTAAGCAGAATTTGATCCTATAGCTTCACAAGTTTTGCTAAAATTTATTTGATGTTTGTTTGTGTTTCCTTCATTGGTTATTCAAGTTCTATCTTGTAGGCAAAGGATTTCTAAAAGTAACAGGTAGCTAATTGTTGCAGTATATGAGAACACAGTAGAAAATCTCAAAATATTGTAAAAATGTGTGCATCTCTCACTTCACTGATATCATTGTTTCATCACAAAAGAAAGTAAAGGAAGGTTAAAAAAAATGGAACAATTCCTACAGATGCTTGTGGATACTTATAATGTAATGCTAGGTACAGTATATAAGTTGGAAAGTATATCTTTCACTGTCCTTCTCTTCATCTGAATGCCACATTTTAAATTTGGATCAGGATTGTACGTATAAGCTGATAAGAGATGGTAAGAGCAATTCAGATGCATGTGAAGCAGATGTTCTTTCTAGTAATTGATTGTATCTTAGTGGAAGACATAATAAGATGTATCAGAATAAAGGAGGAAATTGTATAAGAAGGAATTTCTTCTTTCTATATCCTTGTGGATGCTTAGAGCAAATTCTTTATAGTTACCACTTTAAAAAATGACACATTACAAAACCTCAAAGTGTGCATTGGGAGTTTGCCTATAAAGTATATTTTTTTAAATTTTGACCCTATTATATTCTACATGGACAGTCCTCAAAATTTACAGGGCTTTATCATGCAAATATAATTATGTGAAGAGTTTATCTCAAGTTATGCACTGTTGTTTCCAGCTATAGTATGCAATGGTAGCAAGTGTGGAGATTTTTATTCTTATGTGCTTTTGCAGTGAAATTTTCTAACCTGGAGACAATGAGAAGCATCAGGATGACCTTGGAAATATGTACATTTTACTAGTATTTCAATAGTTTTTTCATTGATTTAGCCATTGCTGTTCTATTCTTTTGTTCTCAATGATAGCAGTAGGGTGGGTTGGAATAATAGTAATAAAATTACACATAACTGCTCATTGGAATATATTCATATTGTCTGATCTTTCAGTCCAGCTCCTAATACCTGTTTTTGTGCATGCCTTCAACTCTGCTTGTATCATGAGTGCAGCTCTCTGAGTGCTGGTGGCAGTTACAGGAGCAGGGAGGGTAGAGCTTTTTAGGTTATTTTATTGTATCATGCCTAGGCATGACCTACAGCCAAGGCATGGATAAAGGTATTGCTGGGCAGATTGTTTTATAAGCAGCAAAACATCTGTACCCCCTGCCAGAAATCGTTCAACTTCAGTGCTTAACAACCAAGCCTTATGGTTCCAAAGTTTTCATAATTGCTAAACTGAATGAGTGTTGCTACAATGTTGAGCTTTTCTCTTTTTTTGCTATTCCCTGTGGACTTGGAAAGACAGGTAATAATCTCCCATTTTTGAACTAATCTTCCATATGTGAAGACAATCATCTTGTATCAGCATTTGTAGACTTGCAGTTCTTAAACTGAAGGTGAAGGGGAGGAGAGGCACAATTCGTGTGTTTGTGGGGGAGCAAGGCACAGAACACTGGTATATTTAGTTTGGGAAAGTAAGCTAGTGCCTAAAAGTCTACACTGGTCTGTTAGTGGTAGGAAATACTGAAAGTGTTCATCAAACTTGTCCTGCCTCTCCTCAGTAAGGAGATCTCAGTGACTTCATAAGAAGAGCAACTGCTTTCTTCAGTCCTCTTGAAAAGAACTCAGAGTTTGCAGGAGTCACCTGGTTTTGACTCCATTCACTAAATCTTTTTTCTGCATTTCTTTTAGTTTAGAAGGGCCAAAGTCAATGAGATGGAGTTGAGGAGGAGAAAAGGTGCAGGGCTGGGGAAGAGGCTGATGTTGGGAACTTGGAAATCTTGTTTTAGACTTTTGTGAGCAAAAGGCCTGTTTGGTAGAGAAATAGCTGCAGTTTCGCTTTAGAAAACTGAGAGAGCCTTTTTATCTGAGCTCAGACAAAGCTCTACATCATTAGGAAGAGGAATAGGCAGGAAAACTGTTGTCAGAGTGGAAGTTAAAGACTTCATATACATATACAGTCTTTATTAAAACTTGTTAGGGGAACAGAAGGGCTTAATACTAAAATAGCTTAAATTTTGTAAAAGTAAATCTTAAGTCCAGCCAAAAAAGGCATTTTCTTTCATAATCTCTATGGACTGTGATTTTTTTTTTCTGCACCTGTTCATCTTTCACACAGTGTATGCACCAGTTTGTGACCTGCTTCTGTTCCCCATACTGGTCATCAGTGCCACCACACAAGTGTATGCATATCCACCCTTTCTAGCTGGGTGAATGATAAATTCAGAATGAAAAATTCTGACATACTGCACTTTGTCCATGTATTTATCTTTTCTCCTGGAAATGCTGTATGCTGATTGTTTATATATGTATGGGTGGATACACAGGTATAGAGATACCCACACTCTCTCAGAAGTATTGCTATGAATGGATAGAAAGGTATATTTGTTTGGACAGCTGTACATGAGATAAGAGGTGTCCTGGTCTAAAATAAAAATCAAGAATGGCTATAAAAAGCAATGAAGCCTTACAGTAGGGGAAATAGTAGTTTGTTAATATTTGAATGTATAAATACAAACATTGGTAAAGGTATACAGATGTGAATTTCCAGGATGTTCATGGTATTATTGAAACTGAAAGTCTGACTAGAAAAGTAAACACTATTTTAATATGCCAACAGAATTACTTGGTCGGCTTCTTCTTTGAAAATAAACTGTTTTTTTTCCATTCTTGAAAACCACAGATTACTTCACATTGTACAAAACTTAATTCAACAATAAGTTGAATCTACTCTTAAATCACATTAATAATTAGTTAATTTTTGATATTTTGTTTTGACAGTTATCACTGTGAAGTCTTAAAAAATCAAACCCTATTGAATAATTTTAATCACATTTTGACATACCACAACAAGAAGACATTTTGAGATTACAGTGGATTTATATAAAACTAATATATTGACTGGTAAATATGCATGGAAATATGTATTAGTTCTAAATTCCTTTGCCTTTTTTTTTCTCTATTCTTTCTGCTTTCTTCCCTCTAGGTCCTGCTAGCAAGTAGTTTTATACCAGTGTATGCAGGAATTAAGCCAGTGGAATTTAAAGGACAGGTAATTTTTCATGAGCTATGAACTTTCTTTTTAAAAATTTTTCATTTATGATGTAATTATTTAATCTTAAGGGAAAGCAACTTCAATACTATATTTTGTATTTCTTATAAGAAAACCTTTTTACAGTTGTCTTTACTCAATCTAGCTCCTACAACTTTTTCGTTTTTCTTACATAAATATATGAACACTTTAAGAATAATTTTAAAAGTGTGGAAATGGCTATTTCTTCCTATGAGAAATAGATGATATTTTGGTTCCCCATTCATAGAAATGACGCCTCCAGAGCCTTTATAACCTTCACAAACCCCACTGTCAAAAAGCCCCAGAAAATCATGTATTTGCTGCTAGCTAGGCAGTCATTATATCAGAAAGCTTGTCAGCTTTATAATTACAGATACAGCAATACATATCAGCTGATCAGTGTGATGCATCTGGTCAACAGACCTCATGGATGATGGCAGTGAATCCATTTAGCCAGCAGACCCGTGTTGAAATTTGGGCTATGCCTGTAACAAAGGAAGAAATAGGAAGGTATAAATATTATATATAAATATATATAATATATATATATAATTTTTATATATAATATTTATATAAAATATATTTATATATAAATATAATACCAAGAGATATCACAGCTGTCCTGTTTATATTGGAATGGAGTTCGGCCCCTAGATCTCACTCTTCACTATGCTCAACTCCTGCAGCAGGATTAGGTCTGCTCCCTCTTATATCATAGTTGCTCAGCTCCTTCCCACATTTACCTTTCACTTTCCAGCTACTGCTGTCTTGTGTAGTGTATGTTAGAAGAAATGAGGCTCTGGAAGAAAAGTCACAGAAGAGGAGAGGAGTCATTTGTGGTTTAGTTTCTGCAGTCAGAATACCTGCATGTACAGATTGAACAGCTCCTGTTGTCAATCAGAATAATGTTCTAGAAGAGTATATGTTATCTAATTAATATCTGATAGATTATGTGTAGTATTAACAGTCTTGTCTTTACATGTATGCATTGAGAAAAATTCTATATGGGGCATTTTATTTTTTAATTAACTAAAAAGTCTTAAGAGTACCTTGGTGAATACCTTACACCAAATTTGTACATTATGTTAAATGCTCATTGATTCAAATCTCTGTGTGTACATTGTCAGTTCCTTGGTATTTGACTCATACTGAAGCTTTTTCATTGTATTCTTAGTGGGAAACTTTTAAGTTTTCTTGAGAGTGAAGGAGGGAGGGTCAATAAGGGTAAAGTATTGCATTGTGATCATACTGTACTGGTGTTACTTTGAAAATATTTCTGTTTTCCAATAGAAGTGGGTTGATGGTGGCCTTACCAATGGCCTTCCTATCTTGCCTGTTGGAAGAACGGTGACAGTTTCCCCTTTCAGCGGTCGATTAGATGTCTGTCCACAAGATAAAGGGCGTGTGGACCTGTATGTTAAATTAGCAAAACAAGATATGATGGTAAGTTGCTTGTTTATTAACTTGAAAACACTAAAATATTTCTGCAGTTGTGTTCATATTTAAGTGTTTATTTTGTGCTCATATATCAACTTATATAAAGTTTTGGTATTTTCTGTTTTGCAAATGGAGGTTAAACCTTTTCTTAAACACAAGGAAAGGAGAATGTAGAAGAAAGAAGAAAGTTTGAAAAGCACTGATCTGGTACAAAATTGAGCAAATTATATCAGGCTGTTCAGTGTAAATAAGACTAGGTTTGCTTTACGTATCAGGTAAAGATATGTAAAGATGTTTATAGAAAAAATAAAGTGGAATACCTCAGGAGAGGATAGCTGCAGAACATTTCCTCATACTTACTGAAATCAGTTGCTCTAACTGAATTTAAAATGCAGGTTTAAGTTGTACATTTAAATTTGTATATGCAGTGACTTGTCACTGCATTGCACAAGAGAACTTGTGAACATTTGTGACTGCAGTGCATTTCCAGAAGCTTTGTTATAAGTTGCAGAAACGTTTCTGTATATTGAAATATGAGACTGATTTTTATTGCCTCCTTTTCATTATTTTCATTTCCGTGTTTGCAACCTTTGTCTCACAAACCTTAACCACAGTTTTGCTTTTTTCAACATGCTGAAAGAAAATATTGAATAGTGATAGACCTAGTGGTCAACAATATTCCATTAGAAAGAAAGATTAACAATAATAATTAGTTTAAAACTTTCTTTCTAGGCAGTTTGTAATGTTTTCTTAATTTTACTAAAATTAGTGTTATGTAATGCCTTTCTCAATTGGACCAGTTTTTGAATCTTTATAATATTTCACAGAGAGATATTAAGCATGGTAGTACTTGGTAAAGATCATAAAATATGAAATTATTGGTTTCATGTCTCTTGGAAGTATATGCAATTATTGTATATTTCTTGGTTGTCTTTTGTATCTAGAGGATGAAAATGAGCTGGTGATTAGTTTAGTTTAGAGACAGAAAATTAATTGTACAGTTACATTGCTTCTGGGGTAATGTGCAAACTTGTGCAGAATCCCAGGCAACATTTAAAACTATTCAAATTGCAGCACTTCTGTTTTAGGGCTGTAAAAATGATGACTAAGAACAATTTCATTTCAGCAGTATTGTAATCTGCATAAATTGAAAGTTGTACATCTTCATATATCTATATTTGAATATGAATAGTTTTCTGTCTCTTCATCTCCTAGTGTCAGAATTTGAATAATTGCTTACTTCAAATAATGAAGATGATTCTGATATTTTTTTGAAAAATTGTATATAATAATGTGGCTAAGTATTAATTATATAAAGAAATTGTTCAGAACATTATTAAATATAATTATGTCTTTAGTTTGTTGTAAACAATTTAATAAAATCTCTATTCAAGAATAATGCTCCAAAATCCTTTTACATTATCAGAGTGACCACTTAAGATGCTGAGTAGTTCTTAATTTGTTGATAGCAGAAGCTACATTTGTACTCATATGTTGCAACATTGCCTGGGAATGTTCCCAAGAATGTGCTTGTTTGCACTAGTAAGTTGTCAAAATATTTCCTTGCACAAGTTTAACATGTGCCAGCTACCCCTCTGTGAGACAGTTTCGGGAGTGTTTCCAAAGCTAAAGTGTTTCAGAAACTTTGGACAGTTTTACAGGCAGCCAGTCTGTCTTGGATGCTGCGAGTTTGACTCTGTGTGTGCGCACTGGTGCCAGTCTGTCCTGGCACTCAGCAGTGACCCTGGACGTGGTTAATTCCTGGTGGAGACACAGCCATGCCAGTCTTTCCATTTTACATATGCTCCATGAAACAGATGACAGTACAGTCACATCAGGATAAGTTGCATTAATAAACTAATTTACAGCTTCTTGCTCTGTTGCAGCTGTCTCTGGCCAACCTAGTAAGGCTTAATCAAGCTTTGTTCCCACCAGACCAGGAGAAAATGGAAGCGTTGTACCAAAATGGCTTTGATGATGCTGTACGCTTTTTATTGAAAGAAAACTGGTTTGAGTAGACAGTTCACAGAAAATTAGCAAAACATGAGGGATGTCAAAACACACCTACAGGCATCTTAGAGAATCTCAGGGATTGCTGCCCCAGTTCCTGTTCATGAAAATAAACATCCCAATGGATTTGGATCTGCTTCTGCTGAGAAAGTATCAGTTGCACTCCATGGAGCTGTGTAAACATGTCAGAACAGGAGCTGGACGTGCCTGGTGGATGTCTTGTTTTGAGGAGGTTCCACTTAGATTATTTTTGCTTCAGCTGGGGACTTGAGTGTGGGATTTGTAAAAAGCTTGTAAAAAGTGTCATAATTACAGAAATTTGGAAAGGTCTTTTTCAGTGTTATTTGAGAGGAGAATTGATGTTATATAATGAAAAACTACCATCTGTATTATTCAAATAACAGAATTCTGTGTATTAGTTCTGCATATTAATTGGATGCTCACATTGTTATTGAACTAAAATGTAACTTGCACTGTTCCAAAGGTCTTGAAAATTAAGTACTAGACACAAGAGGATAAAACATTTGCACTCTTATGTATTTTTTCACTTTAAAAGTTCTTTCTTCAGTGAATGTCTTCTTTTAAAATTTTAAATACTACCTGAAATTTTTTAGCAGAAATGTGATATAAAAATAACTTATAAAGAAGGGTGTAAAAATTGTTATATTTATTGTTTTCTTCCTCTGCCAAAACTGAATAAATATATTTTCTTGAAACTTCTGTCTAGAGTTTATTTACAAGTGTCTTGGAATTCTGTAATGATCTGATTATCTACTCTCAATCTGCTGGAGAGCAGTTGATGAGAGTCAGTTGGTAATGAACTCAGATTCACATACCTTATTATTTTAACATTCATGTTGTATTGACTACCTTAAGTTTAGGACTTCCTGTCTCAATGCCCAAATGCTAGAATCTGCAACTGTTTATGTAAAAGCAAAGCATGTTCGGTTTATAAGTGTGGAGCTTAAGTTGATTTATAAAGTTAAAAAAAAATTAAAATTGGAGGTTCAAGTATGTATGAAATTTAGAATTTCTAAAAACTGAAAAACCTGTGGCTAAGAAAAAAAATCTTTTAAAGCTTCTGAAAGCCTATTCAGCAAGTAAACACCAGATTTATATGTGCAGGGATTTAATTATTTTATTACTGTTTTTGATAATAAAAAAATAAAGACTGATGTGAAGCACTCATTTTAGAACAGCATGAGTGAGGTTCTGTATACAGTGATAGTGATATACAGAATAGTTTGCGTGACTTACAGACCTTAGGATAGCATTTTTTGCATGTAAAACTGAAAGAAGCTACCTTTATAACCTGTGCCTTGTCCACCTGCATTCTCACTTGTACAGAGGATAGCTTCCAGCATGAATTGCAGTAGTAGATAATGCTATAAAAATTCTCTTCTTTCATGCTGATCTGCTGTGGTCAAAGTCTCTGATTCAATGGTAATAACTGTCCTGGAATTCTGGTGAAATCTTGAAACAGCTCATTTTCACTTAGAGAAGCTGAGATATCTAACAAGAACAGAGCCTCTTAGATTTTTTTTTTCTGTTTACAATAGTTGTATTCTTCAGGGAGTGAATATGATCCTTTTTGAATGGAGAAAGTTCAGGGGGTTTTTACCGCTTTACAAGTTCTTCAGTTGATACAGAACTTTCCTAGCGAACTATCCTGAGTAATATCTGGAATTTTCAGTTAGAATATCTTAAGTCAGATGTGCTGAAAAAGGATCCTTGCCACCTTATTTTTCTCACAAATGCCTAAGATTAGATAGTCCTCTTTACCAGCTCCTAAATAGGTGGAGTTGAAAATCAGTTAGTGACCTCTTTGTCAAAATAAACCCCAATGAAGTAACTGGCTTTTTAATTTCAAGAATACTTCCTAGATAGATTCAGTTGCTTCTCTTGTTTGAGATGTGTTTTAGGTGTAGTCCTTGTGTGGCTGAAGGCGAAACCTACACTCAACAGAATTTTGTCTTCTGATGGACTTGCTATGCAAATAGGCTGCATAAATATTTTAAAAAAATGTTACTAATACCTTAAAAAGCTGAAGGAGATGAAATGTGCAAAAATCCATACTGATTTTGTACCATGATGTTGTTGATAAGTGTTGCAATGAAGATGATTGCATACAATACTTATAATTTAAATAGAAGGTTCCATTTTTGCTGAAACCTTAGTAGTTCTGCTGGCTGTGTTGTCTGGGAAACCAGTGTTTTGGGTTGTTTGTTTTTTTGATTCAGATTTTCTGAATTCTTTTGAAAATCATTAGTGCAAGCACAGTCAAATCTAGACGATGAGACAGTCTAAAGTAATATTTTCTCATGAGAATGAAAATACTTTTTATTGCAAAGCACATGTTCGTATCTGTGCTGATATTTCTTCAGATTATGCTCGGGATATGCTAAGGTAAATTTTTGTTTCTATATATTCTGAAGTGTGTTTAAAGGGGTAGGACATACAAATCCTAAGAAACTGTTTTATTCTTGGATTTCATAATTTTCCATATTTCAGAAATGCAATGCTTCTATATTTTCTAAGACCTCTGTTTTCCTAAAAGACTCTGGACTCTGAACTCTGCTCTGACCTTGAAAACTTTGGTCACCTTTGTTGATGTGTAGAGATTGGAAATGAAGATCACTATATAAATATACAAGCTACTTTGTTAGTTAATACAAATAGCAATTTGCTGGGAGTACTAAGCCAAGCAGTAATGCTCATCATCCAGATGTAGGTCCATCCATGGATATCTGGTGCCTGGACTGGTATTTTATTTCTTCAAGAGCAGTTTTTTATATGCATATCAATACTCGTTGTTCCTCCTATCTCACTTGTCTTATGAACATTAATTTCAATCCTTTTTTTCCATTTTCTTTCATTTCTCTAGGGAAACTGTATGGCATGCATGCTATTATATACATTTTTCTGGAGTCCAGTGAAGTGTTTTCTGTCCAGTTTTCCACAGAATGCATCTTGAAATTTGTAATTACTGTTAAAGTCAGGCTGAGGGTGTGTTAAATAATCTTAATACCAGATGAAGTCATTGGAAGTTACTGTTTCAATTACTATTTTCCTTTAGCTTATCTGCATGTTTCCTAGGAAAGAATATTTTTAAGTGATTTGAAGGTAAACTTGAGTCCTACTAAAATTGTCAGGAATTCTGTCTCCTTCAGTCCCTGGAGGGCTGAGACTCACTCCATGGTTCAGATACTGGGTCATGAACTTGAGATTCTGTTTTAAGTCATCTGTAACTGAAGATATACTCATGGTCCAGAGGGGTCTGGGCAGGCTGCAGAATTGGACTGAAGAGCATCTCTCAGGTTTGTCAAAGAAACGGGCAAGTTCCTGCTTCTGCTTTGCACAGATGGACCCTAAGGGGTACTGAGGGGCAACAAAAAGACCATGAGCCAGCAATATGCTTTCATGGCAAGGGATCCAACAGCACCCTGCCCTGCATCAGGCAGAGCACTGCCAGCAGTACAAGGATGAGATCCTTCCTGTGGACTTGGGAGATGCTGGACCAGATCTGGAATGCATTCTCCAGTTCTGGGTTCCCCAGGATAGGAATGCTATGGACTTTCTGGAGTGAGTCATCTGCAAGCCCATGAAGGACTAGAGAGCCTGGGAGAGCTGTGATTGTGCATCCTGGAGAAGGATCAGGGGAATCTTATCAATTAGTATAAATACTTGTGGATGGCAGAGCCAGGCTCTGTTCAGTGGTGCCCAGGGACAGTATCAGAGGCAACACGAAACACAAGAGGGTCCATCACAATATCAGGAAAGTCTCCTTCCTGGGGGTTACTCAAAAGCCATCTGGACAAGGTCTTGGCCAACCTTTTCTGTCTTGAGTAGGGGTGTTAGAATATATGATCTTCAGAGGTCCCCTCTAACCACTGGTTCTGTGATTCTTTGACTTACTGCTGTCCATTTAAATTTCATATAAATACTAATGTTCTTAACACCATGCATTCTTATATTTTTCTATGCATTTTAAAAAAAACATAATTTAAAAAAAAAGGATATTTCATACATGTAATATTAAGAATTTGTGTTCTAAATTCATTCTGAATTTGGTCCTGATGTTTCATTCTGTGGTAGACTTCCATAAAAATCCATGATGTTGCTGACTGGAACATAACAAGTCATGTCTTTGCTGTTGGTGTCAGATGATAGAGCCTATTACATATTAAATTTTTTCAGTTCCCCAGAATTTGCTGAATTTTTCACCTTTCAGAGTGGAAGTTTATGTCCAACTTCTTTCGAAGCAACTTCCAGCTGTTTCTGAGAAGCATGTGAAAAACTGCAGAAATCATACTGACCTTCATTTGAAGGGCCTTCATTTGATCAGGAGTGGAGGCAGTGTTATCAAGTGTAAAGAAAAGAGCCCAATTGAGGTATATGAGTTATCTGAATTAGAGGCTTTTTAAATGCACCTCTTAGATGTGTGCTGGATTACATATGAACTCTTGTTGGTTTGTGTATTTGGAGGTGACTGGTTCAGTGACTGCTGCCCTCAGTTCTTTTCTTCAAGGAACTGCATCTGTGGCTCAGACAGACTTCACACCTCACATCTAAAATGATGGAATGGCTATGTCTGTCCTTAAAGCTCTGTGTTGAATATATAAACATTCAGTGTATTTAACCCCTTAATATTTAACCAAATTTATTTTTTTACCTTTAAAATTTAAACGTTAGGCGTGTATTATATGCAATAAGGATTTCATTTTTAAAAGAGTTTCAAAATAAGAAATCTGAAGTGCTTCTGAAGAGATAAGTTTTGCTGGAAGAGAAATTAACTACATATTTACATCCACAATTAAAATTCGGTTTACTGATTCTGGAAGCCTGAATATGTATGACTGCAAATGGAGTCAGTTCCCAGTTTAGACAGAGAAGGAGGGAAAACCATTGTTTACTTCCCAATATCCAAAAAATAGCAATCATAATTTTAAAAAAGATACTTCATGATTGTTCTTCTCTATCTGAATGCTTGCAGTTGATCCCTCTGAAAGTCACATCTCACTTTGTCTATGAGTGGTAGCCAGCACTTTTACCAAAAGGAAACAAATGCAGAGATAAATTTCTTAAAATTATGTGTCATTTTTAATGTTACAGAAAGGAAGAATTTCAGAAAATAAAGCTAGTGATGAAGCTGAATCCAGTGAGCAGCATGTATCAGTTCTTAAAGCACAAGGTATAAGGTTGTAACCTCTCATTTTATTCTATGAAGTTTCCTTTCACATATTTACAATTGCAAGCAATTTTGAAGCACAGTATTCAGCTTGCAGTATTTGACTGAAAAACATTCATTTCCTTCAAGTCACACATACTTAACAATGTCAAGACTGCATTTCCTCAAGTACATGCAAATTATGATAATCTCTTTCTATGCATCCAAGTTATATTATTTCCTTAGATTCCACAAGTATTCTAAGCACTTTAAGTTTAAAATACACATTTTTAATCCCAATAATTTCTCTGACGTTCCCAGATATGGCAGTAAGCCCTACAGCAGTATACCATGTAGCCTACCTGTCAAGATTATTTTGGTAATTAATATTTCTTAAGAAAACATATAAGCTATGACTTTTAAAACAACATTAGGCATTTTAATTTGGATGAAAATGTGCATTACAAGATGGCATAGCTGGCTAAATATCTAAGAGTAGAAGGAATTGCAGGGATTTGTTAATGCGGGGGATATGAAAGGACTTACTTAGAAATAATGCCACACAGTGCCCTGGGAGCGTGTGAGGTATTCCTCTCTGGCAATCTGTCATTACAGTGGACAGATACTGTTTTACAGAACTACATTTTTAAAGCAAAGAAGCGGCCTTAAGATGGATAAAAACAAAATTGTAACTGTGCTTTTGTTTGAAGTAGAAAAAACCCAATATACACGGTCAGATATGTTGGCATTGAAAAGAGGTTTGAATACCTTTAGCTTTCACAGTATTTTGATGCTGGTTATATACATTAATGCTCATTTCATTTGTAGCTGTGTGGAGTAAAAAGTTCTTTAACTTGAAATAAATACATGAACAAAAAGTATTCCAGGTTAATGGAGAGATTTTTATGTATATTTCTTTTCTACCTTGATAGAAGTATCATCACACGTGCTCGTGTCTTGGTTACAACTGCATGCACTTTCTTTTTCATATCATCTCCCTTCCAGTGTCACATAGACTTCTTATTACTGACATATCTTCATATTCTTGACTAAACCCATTATTAACTAGTCGTGATGGCTGGTCGTAGATCCATTCACTTTGCATGGTAGTGCTGATATCTTTGTTTCTCAGCTTATTCTTGCACTTCGTATGGCACTGGTGAATCTGTTCCAATAGGCACAATATATATTGTTATACAATAAAAATGATTCCATCAGATACCTCATCTGTTTAGAGAACCAATTGCTAACTTCACTAGGATATCAGTCCAGTGCTTATTCTGAATTAGTTTAAAAGTTGTCATGCATATTGCAGTCAAAATGAAATGTGAAAATTAATTTTAACTACACCTTTATGAATTTTTGTAGACTGTTAATAGCTATTATTTTAATAGTAAAATTGTTAGTAATATGTAAGCTAAGTTAGCAATACCTATGTAGTTATTGTTTTATAGCTTATTCGGTTCTAACTTAATAAAAAAGTGGAATATAGCTAGGTGTGGGCCATTATGATACAGCAGAAGAATGATGGTATATTTTAGTTTAAAGTTATTTAGAATTAATATCTTACAGTGTTAGATTAATTAATTTCAGTTAATCGGCATCTTTTATGATGAATTCCAGGCTTTTACAGGTAGCAGAGTAAGGGTGATTCATATTGTGCACAAGAAATGGGCTGAAAGTATGTCTGACTGTGTACCAGTGGTTTCATGTAGTGCTTCTCCATTTTCCAATATTACCCTTCAAGATGTTTGTGTTCTTTTATTTTTGGAAAAATAGGGCATGGGAGTGATGGGAGAGATATTTTTATTCATTCTTGATTCTTAGGTAGTACAGACAGGATATTTTGGAGAGAAATGTCTTCTTTTGGGGAGGATCCCCAAGCGAACACTGGTAATGATGCAGCTGTCAGGCACGGGTGGTGTTGGGATAGTGCCTTGCTGTGTGCTGCTCTAGACTTGGAAGCCCTTGGAGAGTTTAGCAGAAGTAAGAAGCAAGGGAACAACTGAGTGGGATTTAGACTCACAAGGGGCAGGTCAGACTTGTTTTTGAGGTGTGTACAGAAGCTGCCTTTAACCAGCCAAGACACACTGGATTTAAGCAGTGGACTGTAAGGGCAAAAGGACCTTTGAGTCAGCCAGTCCCACTTTCATTAGTTTATATTTTGGTTTTGACACAATGTACATTTTCATGACAGAAAACATTTGTCATTTAGGAAAGAAATGACCTTCAGAAGCTCCTAACTTTATAAATTCCAGTGTTCTATGCTGTAGGTTTAGCCCAGCCAGCAGGCAAGCATCTGCAGAGTGGCTTGCTTGCTCTCTTCTCCATCCCCAGATTGGGAGTGGGGAGAGAATATGAAGAACAAAACCAAAAAAACTCACACATCAATATAAAGACAATCTAGCAGGTGAAGGAGAGAGGAAAAAGAGAAAAAGAAGAAAGCAAAAAACCTAATAAACAAAACAACAAAAAGCCCCAAGTGATGCAGGGGAAATCACTCACTACCTCCATCTAGCAAAGCAATGCCCAGCCAGTCTCTGAGCAATAGGTGACTCAAAAGCAATTTACCTAGCCCTGCTTTTATTATTGATCATCTCTTGCCCACTCCCAGCCTCCTATTTGGAGCAGCTGAGTGAGAAACAGAGAAAGCCTTGATGCCATTCAACCACTGCTCAGCCAAATCACTGCCGTGATATCAACATTGTTTTAACGACAAATCCAAAACGGCACCATTGGGACTGCTATGAAGAAAGCAAGCTCCATCCCAGGTCACTGCTGCTGCTTGCTAGTTGTGGTCACAGTGATTACTTTTAGGAGAGACTTGACTGGCACACCTTGTATGTTCAGATGCAATACATTTTTTGTCAGGTTTGTGCTGTTGTTGTATTTCAGCAAAGTTTGGCTTTTTACCACATCTCTCTCATGAGTTCACTGTTCCTCTCAATACTCATGTCTGGTCACCTACTGCCTGAGTTCTGTGGAATTTTCTCGCTTTGTTGTGGCTTTGAGGTAACAGTACTTAACAACCAGTTGTTAAGGAAAACAAAACCCAAACCTTCACCTAGAAGGGCCATCAGATATCCTAAATGTCTTTGTAATTCTTGTAAGTTATGTCACTGGAGCTGAGATTATGTGATAATGAAGTTTTTGGCTGTCTGGCAGTATTAGCAGAGAGAGAACGGTTGCCATAATACCAGATTCAGTAACACTGAAGTAGCAGTACCTTTAAGCAGCACAATTTGAGAAAGAGCAGTGAAGGAAATCCTGCCTTTCGGTCAGGATTTGGCTGTCTGAAAGATCCATCTCTCTAGAGTTAGAAGAGCTACTGGTTTAAACCATGGTAATTCCTCCAGAGCTGAGTTGTTCCCTGAAGCCTGTGTAAGTTTGGTACCTATTCCCTCTTGATCCAATTTAGCACATGTTTTTTAACTTTTAAGTGTCTCTACCACAGTAACTTTGAGGAGAGTTATTGGTGAAGCATTGCTGAAGTAGTTTTTTGAGGTCTCATATCAATTATAATTTGGAATTACACTTCCAGGTAAAGACCTTGTAAACTTAAGTAGAGCATGTTGTACTGTTGAGGGTTAGGCAGGAATGTAGTGTCATCCATCCAGCTTTCAAGGACTTGTGATGCTCATTTGCCTCAAGTTATGGCACAGCTCAGCTGGCGTTCCACACAGGTTTGTTTGTTTCCAAATGGTTTCATTTACATGAAGATTATTACCAAGTAGGATCAAAATAGAGTTATTCATTAGCTGTCTTTTTAGGATTTTGTTCCATAAAAAGTACTTGATTAAAATGACTATTAAGTTTTTTCCTGAAGTGGAGAACTGAACCACAACAAAGAAAGATTGAAGGATTTTTAAAATACAATGGGAAGTATACAAAGACTTAGACATCTTATTCACCCCAGATTTAGACATTTTTGTATATGCAAACAAATGTTTTCTTGTTCTCTTGCAAAAGTCTTCCCAACTATTCCAGCTGTCAGGGTGCTGCACTGCTGGCCAGGTAAATGTCCAGCAGTGGCCCAAACCAACTAGTGGGTGGGGTTGGGCAAAAAGCCCTGGCATGACTGATTGGTTGGACAGATACATGAGTAAGATAAAAGATGAGCAGACAGTGATATGTGTCCAGAGGAGATCATAAAAATAGAAGCTGGTGTTCAGAAGCATGAAGCAACCAGGATGTGTTTCAAACTGCTAATCGCTTTAGGCATTTGTTTCCTCTTTTGTTTCCAGGTAAAAGTAAAAAGATCAGCCAGCAATAGGGAAAATAGCTTCTCTGTTTTCAGCAAGCTCAGAAAAAAACCCTTGCAATTTGTTTGTATGTTATGGCTTACCTTTTTTTTTCATGCCATGCCCTCAAAACAGGTTGGGGGCTATACTTCTAACTCTTTAAATAGAAAATAGAGAGAGACTTCTACTTTTTCACAGGTGAATGTTCAGGCTACTTTGCTTATTGTTTCTTTCCATCAGAGAACGCTACCCATCTTTAGGTTTGTATTATTTGATTTTGAAGTTATTACTTACACCAAAAGCTATGATAAATATGGTGACAAAGATGGTATATCCAAGAAGAAGGAACCAACCCCGCCAGATCTTATCTGATGTACAGTCATTGCATTTCAAATCTGGAACAAAGAGAAGAAAAATTAAATATTTGAAATAGAAAAAAAAAGTTGATTTTTGATAATTAATTCAAAAATTAATGATTTAATTTGAAGAATTAGTGAAAATTGACCAAAGGGTGATCGTCTTTGTTTTCATCACATTTTCTTTTACTGTTTTTTCAGGAGTTAAGCTTCTCCCTTTTTACTCCAGACATGAGATTTCTGAACCTGTTGCAAATTACTTATGCAAAGGAAAGTAAATAAGATTCTCTGTTTAGTAGAAGTGGGAGATCTGAAAACATCTGTTATGTAGAAAAGGCAATGTAAAAGACAGTTATCTTACCAAGTCTCATACAACTTTTTCTTCCTTTTTTTTTTTCAGGCTAAAACTAACATATGCGTATGGTGTAATTGTCAACAGAATTTCCTTGATCATGTTTTTTTTTAGGAACTCTGAAGAATTGTTGGATATTTTTAAATACAGTGTGAAATCTAGAATGAGAAAACTGCTTTGTGGCATTTTAGCACTTGCAAACCTGATTTTCTGGAAAGTTCACATAAAGAAAATTTGGCTCATGTGAAATTCTGTATATCAGTCACTGAGGTCATATGCTCAGCAGAATTCTGGAAATTCAATTAATAGTTAGAAGACAGAGGAAAGTTATAAATTATTGAAAAATATTTTGCCATCAAATGGAAAGAAAACTCTGCTTCCATATATCCCTACTTTGGGTGCACGCTCTAAAAACACACACTGCTGTGTGAGTTTACTATACATCGTCTGACAAACTGGAAGAGAAAGCCCAAGCTGCATTTTTCAAGAGACCATTTGTTTATAAAGACTGAAGAAAATTATAAAAGGGCTTATCAGGTACTTGGTTTGGGTGTTTATAAGTTTGGCATAAAGACTCAGCAAATGTTTGCAGAGGAGATTAAGAAAAAATATTAAAATAAATACCTAAATACAGACACCAAAATATAATGTATTTTGATATATAAATATTTAGAATTTCATAAAATATATGAACCAGTGAACTGAACTGGTTTAGATCCACAGAAATTCACTGTCCCTGAGAAGTCTGTCCAGCTGTATGAATAGTTAGCACCAAAGAAATGTTGTACCTACCCTCCCCTACTTGTATGATGGTACACTGCTCCTTTACACCTTTCTTTTGGCAGACACAAGCAGTAGCAGAGAAGGTAGTAGGGCTGAAGGAAAATTTATTTCCTCTTGCACACATCAATCTGTTTTCTGTCACTCCCTTTTTGTACTCCCAAATGCTCCTTACCATGCACAGTCAGTTTGGTGCCATTTCCACATTTGCCCTGTATTTTCTCTGTTAGCATCACATCACAGAAATAGGAGTTACTGGCGTTCTGGTCAACGTTGCTCAGTTTTAAGATGGAGAACCCCCTGAGGATGTTTTTTGTTATCTGCACCTGCGGCCCGCCTGTGCTGGGGCTGGACTGGAGACTCTGCTGGTTGTGGCAGTCAGGACCTTTCCTCCAGTAGACCACTGGCTCCTCGTTCTCCTCGCTGGGGTACTCAAACACACACAGCATCCACACCGTGGAGTTGAGGAGCGCGCTGGCATCTTCAGGGTATTGCATGACCGAGAGCTGTGCCCCGCTGCTGGCTGGGGGGGTAAATAAAGCACATGCAGGTGAACAGAGGAATCTCCCCTCAGCAGGGTGGTCTTGGCCAGCAGGGCACATGGGTGTGGCCAATACATGGATGTGCAGAGAGCCACAGCTACAGGAATCTACAGTGAAAGGTGCACTCCAGGGAAGCAAACAACAGTTTTGCTACAGCCTTATGAGAAGCCACAAAACCAGGTTTCCATTGTAAATGTCCTTGCATTTGTAAAATTACTTTCAAATGAAACGGGTTTGTCTGTTAAGAGTTGCATATGCATTTTTATATGGAGTATGAGAAATTGGAAAGTCATTACTAAGAGCAGATAAAACTTTTTTTAAATATATAAAAACAAAATAATATGATTTTTAAATGCGTGGTTACTCTTTTTTTACAGTTATTCTTTTTAGACTTTTTGTCATTTCATAGTATCATAGATCGATTTGGGGTGGGAGGGACTTAAAAATTCATCTAGTTCAAACTTCATGCCATGGGCAGGGCCACCTTCCACTAGATCAGGTTGCTAAAAGTCCCATCCAACATGGCCTTGAATGCTTTCAGGGATGGGGCAGCCACAGCTTCTCTGGACAACCTGTTCCAGTGCTCCACCACCATCACAGTAAAATACTCATTTTCAATATCCACTCTAAACCTTACCTCTTTCCATTTAGAACTGTCACCCTTTGTGCTATCACTACATGCCATTTAAAAGGCATGTAATTTGAACATAATTACTAAGAAATGAGTTTTCAGAAATTGCGAGTCTTTGTTGAAAGAGATTCCTGGAAGATAATATGAAACATCTTTTAAAATAATAATAATAATCCAGAAAAGTTTCTGGGTCTCACTTTTAATTTGGGCAAAAGTATCTTAAAACATCAGTGTAGCACACCAAAAGCAATATTTCACTGCCTGTAGAAAACCAGTCTCATCTCAGTTGAATGAGGGAGAGGTAGATAACTTTGTGAAGTGAAAAAGATGGCTCATATCTGAAATATCTTTTGCATATTATTCAGGCCATTAAAAAAAATACATTTTTTTTCTTTTAAGTTCTTTGGTTTAAGTGACTACATTTAAATGACCTTTTAAAAGTTCTCCAAGACACAGTTTTATAAAAGTTCTGAAATAATATATTGTTTAGTTCAACTAATTATAAAAAATAGATATGAATCCATATTTTCTACTTTTTCATTCAGATGTAATTTTAATTTTTCTTCAGATGCACTTTTAATTTCTATCTACTCCTTTAAGTATTTTAATACTTTTTTCCCCCCTTATTTTTATTTTCCTCCATAAAACAGCAGTTTGAAGAGTTTAAGGACTAAAACTGAGCAATTTTCATCCTTGATTATTAAATTAGCATTCTGTTCCTCAGTTAGTTAGGGTTTGGTGAATTCTGGGATAAAATAAATAAACAAAGATAAAAAAACCCCTACTTACCAGCAAAGTAACTGAAGTAAGTTGTCATAATTAATATACCAAATTGCATCATTTTCTTGAGATTGCTAATGCAGAGATTTTAAAACCTCATCCAAAATTACTGATAACAGAGCTTTCAGCAAGTAGCTGAAAAGTGAATTCAAGCTCTGCTAAAAACATGTTTTTAATCTTGTTTTTAAGGGGAGGTTCTTGTGGTTTCATTCACTGTAACTATTTCCCTGTGTACCATCAGACATCTTGGGCATTGCAACACATTAGCTTCTAATATAGTTTCAGATTTAACTGCACTGGGATTATTTTTCCATTCTGAGAATTTTATTCAGATGACTAGGAATAGGATTGGTTTTGTAGAGCAGATTTTCTCAAAGCTGCCCATCTCAAAAAAAAAAGCTAAAACCCTCTAAGCTTGGGAGCAGTGCCTATGGTGTAATACAGCAAAGTTTGCAATAGACACATAATTTCTGATGTTTTTCCTCAAAGTTCCATTTACACCTTAAACACCACATAATGAATTTGCTTTATCTAGTATTGATCCAATTAGAGAAGTCAAAGTACTACAGGAATGACTCAGAGGAAACATTATTTCTCTTTGCTGAAGTGATGCTGAATGTCTAATTATCATTCTGCAGTCCAGGACGTGTGAACATTGGCTGCCAAGAACTGTATGGTGGCAAAGAGGGCAATGTATTTAACCTCCTAATATATACCTTCTGGATTTACAGGGTCAGCTAATGTCCTTGTAGCATCTTCTATATATAGACTATTAAATTTCATCCAAAAACGTTACTCCTCAGCTTAGTTAAAACTTGTTACCCAGCCTCTCTGCCTACAGATACAAATGTTTGAGTTTGGCTAAGAGATAACTTCTGTGGGCATATCCAGTTTTGATCTGAAGGCTTTGAGAGATAGAGTCAACACGCTGAGTGGTCAGCTACTGCAATGACTAATCACTGTCACCACGAATGGATGTGCCTTAATTTGTATTCTGAGCTCTGTCTCAGCTTCTTATCACTGAAATAGCTTTGCATCTCCTCTATAGCCCTTTACTACCCACCCCCCCTTTTTTTAAGGTGATATTTATACGTTATATAGGATAATTTTCTGATACAATTTAAAAAAAAAATTCCAAAATTTCTTGCAACTGTTGTGATTTAAAGCTGGACTCCTTTAAAACCCCTTTATTCAGGGTTGAGAACTGAATTTCTAATTTTTTGTCCCTCCATCTTGTTTACAGATACAAGAGTATTCCTCCACAGAGTCCTACTGGGAATTCCCTGTCAACTGATTTTCTATTTGGAATGTATCTTTTCAGAGTCACTGCCTTCTTATGTCCTACGGGAATATCACACATTCCTTAAATAAAATTAAGGCTACAATCAAACCCTCCAGCTTTCCAGTAGATGCTGTGTAAGGATGTCTCCTCAGTGGTAACTTTCAGAGTTATTTTGTTAAACTGATTTTCTATCACTGATTGTATACTCTAATAATAATTTGCGCTTATGTCTTAAAGAATTACATTCTTTCAATTTACATTTATTCAAAGGTACATCCCAGGAGAAAAAAAACCCACAACTAATTGTGTTATCTCATTTTGTTATCAGCAGATAAACACATGTATTTAATTATTTTTACCAACATTTGAATATAAGAATATCTAATTGGATGTACTTTTAATTCATCATATCTGAAACTAACCAGGTTAAATAGAGAAACAAAAGGAAGTGTAAACCAGCAAATTTCCTGTTATTAGACTGTAACTCCTCAGATAACACTCTACTTTTATCTATAACGTTGTGAAAAACAGTGACAAAAGCCCTTTAAGATACTGACTTGAATAGGAAAGAAGAGAAAACTGATAAAAGACAAGCATAAATAAATTAATGAAGCCAGCCTGGGATTCACGTGCACATGTGCATTTAAGCAGCTATTCAGTATCAGAACAAGCGGGGTGGGTTTTTTTTTGTTTTGTTTTTCTGAAAATTAATTTAATTATTGATATAGCAATGAAGTTGCTTCATTGTTTATCTTAGTATCTTGATTCAATTAATTTGGTCGTGATAAAGTTTAACATGGTCTTAATAATATATAACTGCAATAGTGTTGAACTATACTACTGAGTAGAATTGCAGGCTATAAATAAACATTGGTTTATTATACATTCTGAATATTCAGAAAACAGAAAGGCTTAACTACAGTTGTGACTACCTAAACAATTAAAAATTTCTATTTTAATTGCTTGAAGTTTCTGTGTTACTGGTATACAAGGCAAAAAGTAGGTAATATCTTTCTAAAATACTAGAGAAAATTACTAATGAGCTGAAATTCTGCCATAGCCTTAAGGTTTGGCTCACCAGGATCTGTGTTCATACTTACAGACAAGCTTGTGCTTGACTCTTTTTCTATTCATTAAAGATGTTTGAGAAGAAGCTGTGTGCCGTAGGAGTGATAACCATGTGGCATAAGCACTGTCAGAAAGAGAAATCAGATCACTTTTGTACTTTACTATGCAAGTGAAACTTGTGGCTGAGAAAACATGATGACAGATCTGAAATAAAGAAGAGTTTAAATAAGATGAAATATAAAAAAGCTCTTTTATGGCATAGAAGAGGAACTATTAAAATGCCCTTGAATAAAAGTACTTTTACTCTCTAGCACAGAAGTGATATTTAACTTTAAATATTTTATATTTTCCCTGCATTAAATGTCTGTCAGACAAGATTTTAAGATTTGAAACTTCCAACATGTTAGGAATGGGGCAATGAGATTATAATTTTAAAAAATAAACGCATAACTTTGAGATACCTAAGGATCAGTGCCATCTCACAATGATGAAAATAGGAATTTGGTCTATGATGATATTAAAGATATGCTAACATATAAAGACAATCACATTTAGATTTTATGTCATGTCCTTCTGTGGTTTCTTATTCTGGCTTCAACTATAATTCTAGGAAATTTAGAAATATGAGTCGGATTACCTGAAAAGTATAGTTTTAATTTTCTGCTAAAAGAAGGATTAGATATAGACTCATAAAATATGTCAATACATATTAACAAGGCCTTAATTCCACCTGATTATTGTTCTTCCACAGGACTGGAGAAAAACATGGATGTATGTTATGAATAGACTGTAGCCCCTCCATTTTCAGCATTATTTTCCACTATGCTAAGACTTATGTGATAGTTGAGGATGTAACTGGGTGACTGCCTCACTGCTCTGCGGTTGCAGGCTGGAGGAGTGGCACAGTTATGTAGTGGCTAAATGAAAAACACATACATAACTTGTTTTGATAACAGTATCACCAAGAGATGAGAAAATAAATGCTGTGCTAATTTCCAACTGATGCAGTGAAGAAGGATAACAAGACATGAGGAATGACTCTGTCTCAGATAGTAATATCCTTTACCAATCCTCATTTGGAGGTATTTTTCTGTGAGAAGTAATCAAGCATTTTATGAAGTCTTTAAAAGTGGAGGTGAATGTGGCTTTATGAAATAGTAGTAGTTTGACAACTACCCCAAAACAGCTACTTTACAATATAGAACAACTTAAAATAGTCATCTCCTTAGCATATGTTAAACAAATAGCAAACTTGCATTCAGTTTATTGTTTATTCATTATAGAGCCCAACAAAGCAGGCAAACACAATAAAATCTTCCTAATGGTGAAAAACAGAAGACCTCTGGAATATCAGCTCTGGTGAGGCCGGAGCCATTTGAGAAAGATGAGGCAAAAATGACAGATTATGTGGATCCAGCACTGTCTGATGATTGAGGATGTGATTTGCTGCTGCTGAGTGTGTATGGCCTCAGGATTTCTCTGTGTTTTCTACTCAGGTGTACAAGGTGAGAGACAGTTGCAGCAATAGCAGAGACTGAGAGAACCTACCTAACTTAAAAGCTGCTTTATGATCAGGGACTGTTCTTGAAAACTTCAGAGCAAACCTTCAGGTTTCCCAGTTAAAGATGAGGATGTAAGCTCCTGCTGGGTGTCTCCATAACAACCCATTTTCTGTCCTAGTAAGAAGTTGAAGTCACTGCACAATCCTTTTCAATGAAAAACAGGAAAATACAGGAGTATAAATGAAACTCAGAAGGGAAAAGCAAATACTCTAATGGTCCCCTACATTCAAACTGGGAAAGGAAATGGAAGAAAACACAGCTGGAATATGGAAGAGTATGTAGTCTTATTTGACCCAATTTACAAGCTTATTTTAATTATTTAGCAGCTTCTAATTTTTATAGCCCAGAGAGGGTATGCCATGAACACCAGGCTATTTACCATGTGTATACATCTCTTTACTAACCACTGTGAATTAAAATTACCCATATTCATTTGCAATCTGCAAACCAAATTTATGCAGTGTTCCCTTCAGTAAGTTGCTCCATCCCTGGAAGTGTTTATGGCTGAATTGGATAGAGCTCTGAGCAGCCTGCACTAGTGAAAGGTGTCACTGTCTATGACAGGGGGTTGGAACTAGATGAACTTAAGGTCCCTTCCAGCCCAGACCATTCTGTGAGGAGCAGGTATGGATAGAGATGCCAGTAGTGCATGTGAGTAGTGGATCTGCAGCGTGGAAATTAGTGTAAGTTGCTTGTGAAGTCAGCTACCCCAGGAGTGTTTTGTGTTACTGATAAATTAAAAAGTAGTTACTGTTTAAACAAAGATCATCAGAAGAAAATACCTTGATTGAATTTTAAAAAGAAATGTTATCCAAGTAAGAAAACTGACGGTTAATGAACATTACTGGGTGGAATCTTAGCTGCTAGTTTAATCAGAATAGCTGGACATAAGGAATATGATACTTTCCACACAGACCCATGAAGAATCTGTCACCAATTCATTTCTCTCTGTGGACACATCTGCATGCTTTTCCCTCTAGGTGAAGCACGCTTCCACTTTCTGGAGGCTTCTTCCATATTCTCTGAGTAGGCATGGAACAAGCTTAGAGTAAACACCTTCATTTGGCTGTCTGTGTGTGTAGGGGGTGTTTGAGCAGCCACCACAGTCAATGGAGATGCTGCCACTGCGTGTAAGGGAGTCTATGAGACACTTCAGCTGCCC